TTTTGAATTAAATTTTTTTTACCCTCCCCTCTAAGAGACAGCCTTTAAGAAGTCTAGAAAGCATTTTGAAATTAGTGGAATCCCTCCTTTTTTCTCCTTTGCTAATTTCATTTCATTATAATATGAAGATTATTAGAAATGTAAACCTGTAGGATATTTTTGAGAAATTAATATTGTTTTCAAAAATGATTGTCACACCTCCCAGGTTTAAGTATACTTGGGAATGTGTGGGAATATTGGCTATTTGGTAAGCAAAATACTTTTTTTGTGTGATTTTCTTTCCCAGCTTAAACCTTCACTTAACAGTATGCCTTCTTTTCTGTAACTTTTACACCTCCTTTTTTATTTTCTCTAAATAAAAATAATTCCTTCATTAGCCTCAATGAGTTGGCAGTTTCCTGTTTAAAATATTTTTGACATTTGCAGATTGATACCAGCTTCCATTCTGGGAGTCCATCCCATGACTGGACCAGGGCAGGGAAGAGCTGCCACCGAGAGCAAGCTTTCTGTAGGTTGGTTCAGAGCTGGTCAGGGCTTTGCTAATCTCAACAAGTTTTCCAAGGGGAAGCTTTCTTGCTAGCCTCACTGGAACCTTGTCTTTGTTGCTCAAGTCACATGAGATGGCCAGAGGTGAGCTGTGGTTCTGTGCTAAGTGGAGCAAGCACCCTGGTATGCTTGCGATAGTGACGCCACTCTGTAGAACCCGAGGCTGTGGAAACTTGGGTGTTGGCTTAGGTCATTTAGAGACTGAAAACCTACTGCAGATCTTGGAGTCCAGAGACAAGTTCGGGAAGGGACTGGTGCATTGTGCTCTGTATATCCCTTGGCTCCACTTGGCCATACTTGCATACATGTTCCCCTTTCTGTGGTGTCAAAGAAGAAGGTTTTCACTTGTGACTCTAGAGAGGCCTGTGTGTCTATAGAATCAATTTGTGTGTCCATCGGTGTGTTACAGCAGACTGGGGCTTCTTGCCCCCTTCCTGTGTGTGGTTTTCCTTGTTTCCACCAGGCCACATCTGGGAATTGGGTGTGTAAATCAATCCCAGTTGCCTCTCATGATAAATCTTCAAGTTATGTCTCTTGTCACTGGAAGAAGTACTACTAAATCAGCACCACTGAATAATTTGGGGGGGGATCTTCTTCTATTTCCTTTTCTCTGAGTATAAAAGTGGCCTGTACTCATTTAAAAAATTTATAAAATATAAAAAGAATAAAGCCCTCTTATAATCGTCCTCTCAGTAACAGCCTCAGTTAACATAATGAAACAAGTGTTTACTGTGTGTTTTCTATGCCTATTGTACTTTACATAGTTGATATCAGGCTATATACTAATTTTCATTTTATTTTTTTAAATATTCACAATTATGCTATTAGCATTTTTTGATATATCTAAAGAAATTGACTCTAGGACAACAAGCATGTTTTTAAAGGTACAATGAATCACAAATTATAAATCTATTCTATGCATTTATTAAATTTTTGAAAGAATACCAATGAAAATTACTGGCTAGTACGCTAGTGATTTGTCTAGTAACTTCCTTGCAGTGAAGCACTGAAGTATTTGCCTGTAACTAAATTTGCAGTGCCAGCTCATCACTGAAGGGTAGCTGACTTTCTTCTAATGTTTTGTCTTGCATACACAACTGTTCCTTAACCTTTGGTCACCAGCCCTCTGAGAATTCAGTGAAAGCTAAGAATCCTCTTCCCAGAGAAATGCATATTCACACCGAAAACTAATTGTAATGATAATCAGTTATGATATGCCAGGCACTCTGCCAGCTGCTTTACATGTGTTATTTCATGCAGTCCTCATAGCAGCACTATAAGGAATGCACTGTTATCCTCATTTTTGAGATAGAGACATTAAAGCTTTAAGGAGATTAATTTTCCCATGACCGTAGAGCTAGTAACTGGGGCTTAGACTCTGATTTTTATGACCTCAGAGCCCATCCCCTAAATCATTGTGCACCTAGTTTTAGGGAGCTTATGAATTTCTAAAGCTTGCTTATTGATACTGATGTTAAGGACACCTTACCTGTTGCAATCTAAAGATTGTTATTGGCAGTGAAGAATTTGCGTGGTTAAAGGACCTTGCTATTTTTGTAACTTATTTACTTAATACATAAGTGTTTGTTGAACATTTACTGTTTTGAATACTTGTTAGGTTTTGTGATTTGTTCCTTACCCTTAAGCAGTTTACTATCCACATGGACAACAGCAATTATTTGTATCAGACAATGATAAAAATACAAATATCAAGCTGATTATATCGTAATTAGACATTTCCATAAGCTATATAGGAAAATTAATCTCTTTACTTTGTCATACCTTAATGCAGTTGTCATCCATTGATTCCCTAATGTGTAAAGGAAAAGTCAAATCTAAAAGGCCACCATGTCCTCTGGGAACCTGAAAGATTCAGTGTGTCATAAAAATGAGGTTTATAAAGTGAGACTCTGAGAACTAAATACGTATCACATCCAGAATCCTGAGTGGTCTCATCAGCATCATCTGTTAGCCCCAGGGAGCATGCCCAATAAGGAGATTCAAGAATGTTTAGCCAGCTCTCGAACCTTATGCATCGCAGGGTAATTCTTTTGAGTTGTACATGTGTAGGCAGTAGAACATCTTGCTAGTTGTTGCATCTTTTTTTTTTTTTTTTTTTAAATANAAATTTTTTTTTTTTTTTTTCTTTTTTTTTTTTTTTTTTTTTTAATATACCTTTATTGATTTCAGAGAGAGTAAAGGAGAGGGAGGGAGATAGAAACACCAATGATGAGAGAGTCATTGATCGGCTGCCTCCTGCACGCCCCTGGCTGGGGATGGAGCCCGCAACACGGGCATGGGCCCTGACTGGGAATCGAACTCCGATCGCCTGGATCCTAGGTTGATGCTCAGCCGCTGAGCCACACCCAGCCGGGCTAGTTGTTGCATCTTGACTCAAGTAGGGTTTGTATTGACAGAGGCGACTGCAGTACTTCAAAGGATGCAGCAATAGCCTTGAGTCATGGAGGAAGAGGAGTGGCAATCTACCAACCTTGGATGAAACCATGTTGCATGGGAAGCCTGTTTAAGCTGACCACCTGACAATCAAGGCTGTCAAAGAGAGGGCCTGTGGCTATAATTCAAAGAAACGCTTTCTCCAGGAGCCTATCATGGGAAAGTTGTACATGTGACTTGAACAGCTGTTGTATGCCAGGTTATCACAGATAATGGCTATTGTAAGATATGAAGGATGGATTATGTCAAGCTTTCTATTAACAGGGCCCTCATCAAGTATTTGTACAGTTTTAAAATTTAACTCCTTTAAAACTTCAATCATTTGGGCTATCCATATGGTAGAATTAATTTATAAATGGCATCTGAATTTTCTTTACAAAGCAGGTTGAAACTTAGTTATGCTAATCATGGCATATAGTTTGTCACCTTCATTTATGAGTCATTTTTTTATTGGAAATGTCTAAAATAAGATTCTTTTATATACATTTGTGCTATGTTTTAATCAGTTTAATAAATTGTTTAAAATTTTATTGCTCACACAGTTTTCATAATTCCTGCAACTTGGCTTTTTAGCATTATTTTTTAAAGTGAGCAAGGATTTTGTGAAAAACTATTATGTCTAATAAGCCCCTAGATGGAAAATATTTTTGAAAGACAGAAATTCCTATCATTGTTCACAAATCATCATTTGAATCTATCCATCTACTAGTTGTCTGAAGTAATTTTCCAGACAAATATGCAAATGTTTTGATGGATTTTATTTAATTTCAAAAGAAAAATATGATACCAGCTTTCTATAATTTCTTAAATTCATTCCTGGGGAAAAATATAATTGAAAGGAAAACATCCCTTTTCGTATTTGCTTTGAGTAGATTCTCAAGTTGTTTTTCAGGTGAGTAGTAGATTGATGTTAAATGTCCATCACACTTTGGCTTCACAGAAAGAATTCAAGACATAGCAACTGTCCAATTTTTGAATTTGCTGTGTGTGTGTGTGTGCACATGTGCATGCACACGCCTGTGTAAGGGGCTTCCACAAGACCTTTCGATTTCATAATAAGCAGGCTTAGGGACACTAAAATTTGACATTCTTAACTGTTACTAGTTTTTGTCCCTGTAGCCCTGTGCAGTTATCTTCCTGTTAACGATGTAGAAACCAGAGTCATAAACTGAGCATATACCCAAGGCACTCCTGTAAATTGCATATAGCATTCATGTGGTCTGGTCTCCTTGACCTAAGACTAAATTGGAGTAGAGGGAAGAGAAGAAGAATTTTCAAAAGTGAAATAGAAGTCGAAGTCAAGAAGGAAAAATACTAGAAAGACAGACATGTGCACATGCTCCCTAAGTTTCTGCAGAAAGATTTATTTCGATGGGCCTTTTCGTATCTGCAAACACTCCTTTGCTCAAGAGCCAAGCACTGCACTGGGCGCCTCTGCTGCTGGTGCGTGCGTGTGTGCATGCGTGTGCTGGCAACAACGCACTCAGGAGATAATGCAAATGACCGGTGAGGGAACAATTAATGGTGTGGCAGGGAATATTTTTTGATAAATGCTTGGGGAATGAGGTGACAGGCGTGAAATTGGAAAATTCCTTCAGCGATCTAAAATATAAATAGCTTTCGGAACTGAAAAGAGCTTCACAGCTGAAGATTTTATTGTGTTGGGAGGAAAAACTTTTTTCTCTCCCCCACTCCCTCCTCCTCTGCAAGTTGTTTGTCCATTCACAAAACAAATACTCTGCAGCCCAGCGCGGCCCATGGGAATAAATTTCAGGTCGAATTAGTACAGTTTCCTTGCTGTCAGGACGCTGGAATTAATGGCGTTTTGATGACACGAATTTTGAAGGGCAAACAAAGGAGCCGAAGGGAGAGAGACAGGAGCCCTTAGCGGCTCGGGCCGCCTCGCCCCCGGCCTCTCTTGTCTGCCCCGCCATCCGTCTGCCAATCTCCCTGTCCACGGCCAGTTAAAGGCGCTTTTTATCCCCCTTTCTTTCCCACAGAGTTTGCCAGATCCGGCCCGGTGCCTGGGTTCCAGGAGGACACGCTGCCGTTGGCCTTCATCGACTTGAGACAAGTAAGCCTTTGTGTTTTTGTTTTTTGTTTTTCTTTTAAGATGTGTGACTGAAGACCATCAGGTCTTAAGGAAAAGGGGAGGGAGGGGGATTGGCGTTGGCGATTCACACTGGAGACCTAAGGGTTTTTCTCTGTGTCTGAGGCCACCTCTTTTATTTAGCTATCTGGGATCCTGAGCTGTGGTGGAGTTAAAGGTTTTGTGGGCAGAAGGAAAGGCAGGAGGTGGGAGGAGGGACCCAAAGAGTAGAGGGACTCAAGTGACCCTCAAGTGATGTGACCCATTGTGCTCTAGTTGGCTTCTGCAGACACAGCAAAGAGATAACTGAGCAAACCCATGCTAAGCAGGTGCACCGATGCAGAGGCTGCCTGCCTAGAGAACCTTTGTCCGTCTGTAACGAGGGGAGCGGCATTCCAGGAAAATGACATTTCTTACATTCTGCATTGTTGGTTAGGCTTGTTGACTTTTTTGTTGCCTTAAGTCTTCCCATCCCCTCCTTCGTAGAATGTGGTCGGCCATGAGTGACTAAGTGGCCATTTTAGAAGATGATTAGCAAAGGCCCTGGCCACTCACGCTAACCTGCCAGGCAACCCCATTAAAATAGCCCGAGGAAAGCCCGTCCCTAGGCATACCTGAGTGCTGGGAGCCCGCCAGATAGAAAGAGTCATTCTACAGAGCTGTTGCCTGCAGGTTGGAATGGTGGGTAGGCCTTGGTCGTGTGGGTTCAGAGGAACAGGATGGGCGGGGGCCTCGAGAGGGAGCAAGTTAACTGGGCTCTGTCATCTCTTCACTCTGAAGATGGATGGGGTCGGATAGAAAGTGTGAATGAAGTAAGAATCAATGACTGATGCTTCTCTCCTATTAAAACAATCTTTTTTTTGGTCTGTTTTAAAAAGGGGGCTGGCTTTGTTTCTCCTGCCATAATGATGCAGTGCCTCTTGTTTTCAGAGCTGACATAGTTTGCATTCTGAAAACTTTTAGATGCCCAGGGTATTTCTTAAAGCTGTATCGGTAGTCTCCTTACCACTGTGACTCGATTCATGCTGGAACAGCTTTTAACCCATAATGGATGGCTTGAGCTACCCCCGAATCCTTGTGATGGGTGGTGTAATCTGTCATCTGATGACAATTCTGGAAAGCCCTGTTAAGCAGAAAACAGAAAATTGTGTCTCTATAGATCCGCCAAAGTTTGAGGATTCAGGCCGCGTCCCAGAAACGTGTGTCAACTTAATATTTGGGGGCCGAGGTGGGGGTTCTCTTACACATAAAGGCTTTCTCAGCATGGTCACAAATGGAGCTCAGTATCTCTTTCTACATTAAGACCTTCCACCTGTGGATTCAGCAACTCAACTGAGACGTTCAGGTTTTAACCCCTTGGCTGATGTGAGGCTGAAAGATTGGGATTTTGCTTTAGGGTTTTGTGGAGTGGATCTGTTGGACTTTTCCCCTTGTTTCTTCTCAGAAACTTCGGAGCCAATTGGCTTTTCTTGGAAAGCAGAAATTGAATTTCATTGGAGAAACACATCCAAGGAAACAATTTTTCCCTGCTCACTATTCATGAGAAGGAAGTGTGGTCATTCTCTCTAGTTTGTGGTTTTGGTCCCTATGGAAAGCAACTAGTGTTCACAGAAAATGTTAACTAAGGGAATGCGTTAGAAAGCACAGCCCAAATAAGGTGACTGAGCCAGGGAGAATTGTGCAAGTACTTGTGAGCTCTCAGTGAGCACTGGTGTTTATGCTAAAGTTCCTGTTTTCTATTACATTCCTGTTCTCCACATCCTTTTAGGATGTTTTAGCAGTCGAACCCAAGACCTCAAAATTTTACTAATAATGAAAGAATATGTTTCTTCCTATTGAATCTACCACCTAATTTCTATTAATGTCTGTCTCTATTAAGCAGCCTAAATTTTTTAACAGATCATTTGAAAAACTTCTCCAGCTCTCAGGCTGTAGCTCATTATTAGGAGGTCTCAGGTAGGTGGAATTATTGTGAGAAAAATTATCCTTCCACACCCCATGCTGGAAATATTGATCTTCTTGCAGTTACCATAGTCATTCTCATAACTTATTGAAAATGAGCATTTTTTCAAAGGAGACTTCTTTTTTTGAACTATAGAGATGTTCAAACTATAAATAGAAAGCCTGGGAGTATGTTTCCAAAGGAGGTATCTGGACTTCAAATGAGCCCTGATTAAGTGTCTTTGAATATGTTTCCTTTGCATGTGCTCTTTGGAATCCTAAAATAGAGTTAAGGAATTTGGGGGCTGGGGGCTAGTCTTAAAAATCATGTCATATAACCTTTGGCTTGATACTTGAATCCCTGTACAGCACCCCAGACCGTGCTTGAATTTCCTGCTTGAAGAGAAAGGTCCACCTTAGCACAGTCTGATTATGAGAAAGATATTTCTTAAGTTGGCTAAAATCTGTCTCACTTAACTTTGACCCTTTGACTCTTTATGTTTTTATTATAACACACCCCAATTTGGGGGACGGGCTTTTTATCCTGGTTTACTGTGTTTCCTGTCTTCTAGTGGCATGGTTAGCCATTCCTCATATAGTCCTTATATGGTTGATTCTATGGACCAGAACTGGAGACTTTGCTCTCTTTGGGCTATGTTTTTCTTTTAAACATATTAACAACACAGACTTTGATCATTTTTATTTATTTAGCCTATCTAAACCTTTTAGGTTCTGATTCAGTTATCCACCTTACTAACTGAATATTATGCCCTTTATAAGTCAAAGATAACATGGCAGAGGTTAAAAGGAAGAAGCTAAAGTCAAGGTAAGGTATAGGGTGCACAGCCATGCAAGCGGGGGCCTTGTTCCCAGGTCGGAATGTGTTTTCCTCATGGGTTCATGGTATGTTCATTCCGAATATGCTTTCATGTTCTTTTGCTTTAGAGTGTTTCAGACACCATCAATTGGATGATAATTTTTAAAATGTTCAAAACCTGGAATATGTGATGAAATCATCTCTTTATAGACTATAATAGCAGAGTGTCATTTAAAAGCTATAGAATTTCATTAGGAAGCAAATTAGATGTGGATAGCAAACTATTCATCCTTTCTCGCCTGTCCTGTCTGTTCTAATTTTTCCTACTTCTTAAGGAAAAGACAGAAATGACATTTTGAATATACAAGCTTTCATGATATTTTACATTTGTATAGCACTTCAAAGTTACAGCAAATTTACATACATGTCTCGTCTGTCAGATTTCTGGGTTTAGAAAGCCTGCTAATAATAATGTGAATTAGACAGTAAACATCAAGATCTCCTTCTTTGCCACTTTATACTTTCTGTATTTCCAAGTTCATAAAAATAGGATTACAGTGCAGCTTCACATCACATTCATATACAACACTAAATATATGTGCATAATTCTGTTAAAATCCAAACTCGGGCTAATGCTAAACCTTGAGAAGGACAACTTAAGGGCTCCCTTATGAACTGTCTTGAAGTGACACATACACACCAAGTACTAACACTTGCTGGCCTAAAATAATTGGGAATTACAATACAAGGCCAATAGTAGATTCTCAGTAGTGATTTGATTCCTTAACAGTAATATGGCTTGTATTTTTCTTGCTGTTAAACATTCAGTAGATAATGCTCATGAGCACCAGGATTTGAACTTCAGTTGATTGCTGTTTCAATTTATCAAACCGAGTGCCTAGTATAGACAAACACAGCGTAGGCACTGTGGGAATACACCAATGAATATCATTGGGTCTCTGCTGCTCTCCAGGAGCAAAGAGACGATCAGCACATGCTTGATTCTAATATAACATACATTGTGATAAGTATGACATTGGTAGGATGAAGCCATTATGTATGTGTCAATTATTTCTGCACCTTTTGCTACATAACACATCACTCCAAAATGTATTGGCTTAAAACAAGAACCATTTATTTACTTAGCTCAAGTTCCTACAGGTTGGCAGTTTGCAGTAGGTTCAGCTGAGCCCACTCAAGCTTTGAGGTCATTTTGCTAGATTGGTCTAGGCCTTAGCGAGGCCAGCTTTTCTCTGCTCCATGTGATCTCTCATCCAGGAGCAGCCTAATCCAGGTTTATTCACAGGGCATCTTGGCATGATTCCAAGAGAGCAAGAGGAAATATGCCTGGAGGCCTGCATTTGGAACTAGCAAACCCCCTATTCTGTTGGCTAGAGCTGGTTACAAATTCAGGGAGTGGGGAAACAGATTCTAATTTAACACTGCAGTTGGGATATTAACCTTTCATATAAATGATGCAAAATAAACAATGCAAGTCAGGAGCAAGATTGTATCTATAGGTACCAAAAGAGGCCATGAATTGGAGAGGTTTTATAAAATATTTCATGGGAAAGGTGGAGATTTAAACCGAAAGTTAGGTGTTGATGGGCAGAAGGTATTTCAAGCATAGAAAATAACTAGTTTTAAGTTTTGTTTAAAAGTGTGTGTGTGTTTCAACACCACTTTTATTTGAACATACAAATAAGATATGCATATGTTGCTGAAATAAGTTACATAGTACTTATCTGATTATAAAAAAATATGCTATCAGTAGAAAGCTTTGGGAAAATACAGAAAGGTTCAAACAAGAGAAAAATATTTTCTTCAATTTCTTTACCTATATATAAATTTATACAAAATCAGGCTCATACTGTATGTATAATATTTTTAAACCTGATTTTTATTTACATAACATTATTAGACTGTGAGATTCCCAATTACCTTAATTTTTTAGAACATATTTATAATATAGATATTTTTATAATATTGGGGCTGAACATTCACATAGTTCATGATCAAAAAATATAAAACAGTGAAAGTTTCATTACTGGCCAACAAATTTTTCTTCCTAGAACAGCTGCTGCTGTTAACTTTTTGTGTATATTTAGAAATATTTATACACATAAAAGTAATTACCAGTATACGCTCTTTGGTTTTTCATCAGCAGTGTGGCTCAGAAGCATTTCAGTGCCGGAGAGTGGGGCCTCCTCATTCTTTTTCACCACTG